ATCCTAAACTTGAGTATTGCATACAAGCAGTTAGCCTCTTTTTAGAAAAAACAGTGAGATTTTGGAAAAGGTTCAGAGAACAACAACTGAGCAGATTCCCGTAATGGCGAAGCTCCCGTATGATGCTGGACTGGCTAAACAAAACCTATTCCCATTGTCATAATGAAGAAACAGAGGTGACTTGATCACAGTTTTTAAAATTCTTAGCAATGAGCTTGCACCTGATATACCCGCATTTCTATCGTCTTCGTAAACAGGGAATTTACGAGGACACTCTGAAATGGTTCGCGGTCTCAGAACAAACTAATTTTCATCTGGCCATCGAATTCTCCATCGAATCATCAACGAGTGGAATTCACTACTTCAGCACATGATTGCAGCTCCATCTGTCGACTCTTCCGAAATATAGTTGGATCACCTGAAAGTGCATACTTGACAGGACTAAGATAGGTCACCTAGCCTCTTGCCGTTTCAAAACTGACACGCTAGTTTCAAAAAAAGCAGTGATTTTTGTACTTGTTGTGATTATACTTGCTTTGGGTACTTATTACACTAAAAAGCATTCTTGGTCTACTTTAACTAAGAGTACTTTGGTTAAAGTTTGAAATTTTTTGCTAAATTTTGTCCTGAGTACCTGTTTTTAGTCCTTGACTAACACTTGTGTTCACATTGTGATCATTTTTTTGTTTTTAAACCTTTTAAATCGAATTACAATGGTTGGTAAGACTCACAAATGTGGGCAACCAAATTGTTTGTTCTCCGTTGAGGAGGGAATGCATTGTGACGATTGTAAAAGGTGGTACCACAAAATGTGTACACGACTAAGTCCGACGGGTTACAAAAGATGCTCGAAGCCTAACTCGCATTGGCTTTGTATGTTCTGCTGTACGGATAAAAAGGTACTAATACAGGAGGCTATGGGCCTATTGGCTTTGGCCTACAAGAAAAACGATGGCGGAAGCACAGATAACAGGAGCACTGACGATGAAGAATGTGTCAGTGTAGTAAGTGCTGCTACTGGACCCGTTAAACACCTGACTGCGGTTGACGGGAACGTGAAATCACCGTTGACATTAACGAGGAATGAAGTGTCGCTTGATATTGACATCGGCAGTCATACACCTCTAGTCGAAATAGAAGATCCGGATAAAACTGTCACCGTTCCACATAGTCCAGGTGTGGCTGTTCTGAATGGCGACAAATGGACTTCGGTAAGAAGAAAAAAATAAGAAGAAAAAGGCTGTAGGCAAAACGCAGCTGGTCACCAAGGCATTGGAAGGGTTGTTATCAGAAGAAAAATCCTCACTGCGTGACAGGACAGATCTCTCTGATAGATCAGTCATTTTTCATAAGATAAAAGAATCTTCAGATACTGAACCAAAGGCAAGATTTGAACATGATCTCAATCATATTAAGACATCATTAAGTAAACTACTCTCAGATACAGTTTCAGGAGTTAGTATTTGTAAGCTTTATAGAATTGGAAAAAAGGTGGATTCCGAAAGTCCTCCGAAAAACCGCCTCCTAAAGGTTACATTCAACACGGTGGAAGAAAGGAACCTGATCCTAAGTAATTCACGTAAACTGATTGGATCCGGAATATATATCCGTGAGGATCTCAGCCTAGCTGATCGTATTAAGAGAAGGGCTGCAGAAGCGGAAATAAACGAGCGTCGCCGAAACGGTGAAAGAAACCTCGTTCTTAAGGGTTTTCAGATTGTAAAAGTTCGGAGCAAAACGATCCCCAAGCCACTCTGGGTGGCAAGGCAAAGCTCTCCACAGACTTAAAAGTGTGCTACACAAATGCTCGCAGCCTACTAAATAAAATGGCGGAGCTCAAGTCAGTGGTGGATAAAGAAAAACCGGATGTTATTGCTGTCTCGGAAACTTGGTTAACGTCAGAAGTATTAGATAATGAAATCCAGTTGACTGGTTTCATAACCAGTAGGGCTGATAGATTAAACCGAAGGGGAGACGGGGTTATTGTGTACACGAAAAGTACCCTAACCATAAGGTTAGCTGAGACAGTAGCATATGTTTCAGGGACATGTGAACTGGTGAGATGTAAGTTGAAATGCCGAAGGCAAGATATTGAAGTAGTTGTAGTTTACCACAGTCCAGAATGTGTAGCAGATGATTTTCTCCTAAGTGAACTTAAGTCCTGGTGTAACAACGGTAAAAGCCTTGTAGTAGGCGACTTTAATGCACCATATATAAACTGGGTTAACTTAGAAGTAGGGTCATCCATATCGTCGTTCGACTGCAAACTGTTAGAAACCTCGATTGGATTAGCATTATTCCAACACATTAGAGATCCCACAAGATACGACCTAAGAAACTCTTCCTCTCTTTTAGATTTAGTCTTCACACACGGTGATGATGTTGGTCAAATAGCTTTTCTCCCACCACTTGGGAGAAGCGACCATGCAGTCATCTTATTCAAATTCATGGCTGAGATTGCTTGTCAAACAATTGCGCCGGCCCGTTCTAACATATGGAAGGGAGATATGCAGGCAATTAACTCCGCAGCATCGGCTGAGAACTGGGAAATTGACTCAAAGGCATCAGTATAAGAGGCATGGACTCTATTTAGGCAGTTATACAATCGGGTAACTCAACCATACATACCCTGGACTGTCCCAAAGAAAAAGAAGCACAGACATCCCTGGATAGGGCGGGATATTCGACGCTTACTAAGACAAAAGAAGAAATGCTGGGATGTTGCCATCCGCCTTGGCACAGCAGGTACGATGGAACGCTACAGATCGATAAGAAACGAGTGTATAACTAAAATTCGGGAAGCGCAAAGAAAATGTGAAATGCAGCTGGCAGAATCTGCACTCAAGCAGCCCAAGAGGATATTCTCGTACATAAACTACAGAACAAGGATGCATCATTGGATTCCCAACCTAATTAAAGAAGGAAGTAAATCTGAAATGACATAAGAAGATCAGGAAAAAGCAGAGGCTATGGCTGACTATTTTGGGGCAGTTTTTACTCAGGAACCTCCCCTAGACAAAGAACCAAACCAAAATAAAGTCAACAAACCAAATGCTAACCTTGGACTTCGATCAAGACGATGTGCTTAAGGCTCTTAGCACCTTAAACATGGAAAAGTCAACAGGACCAGATGAACTACACCCTAAAATCTTGAGACATATTGCCCAATATATCGCAGCCCCACTGACTGTGATATTCAAAATGTCACTTGACCAAGGTGTGCTACCTATGGACTGGAAGGACGCAATCGTCACTCCCATACATAAAACAGATCCATGACAAGTTCCATCGAATAACAGACCCGTAAGCCTCACCAGTGTTGTAATTAAAATACTGGAAAGAATAATCAAACGGACCATAACAGCATTTATGGAAACCAGTAACTCGCTGAACATGGCACAACATGGTTTTAGAAAGGGTCTATCCTGTACAACAAACCTCCTTATAGCTAGGGAGTTTGGATTAATGCGCTAGACAACGGAAACTCAGTGGATGTTGTCTACATAGACTTCAGTAAGGCTTTTGACAAGGTCCCAACTAATAGACTGCTATTGAAGTTGGCAAACCTTGGTATTGCCGGACCTCTTTTAAAATGGATTAAGGATTTCCTAGTAGGTCGTGGGCAAAAAGTAAGAATAAATACCAAGTGCTCCATCTGGAGACCAGTACTTAGTGGAGTACCCCAAGGTTCCGTCCTAGGTCCTTTACATTTTATAATGTACGTTAATGATCTTACAAGTATAGTACAGTCTCCAATGTTATTGTACGCTGACGATGTAAAAATTTGGCGAGTAATAACTGGAGACAAAGACACATTTACTCTTCAGGCGGACTTAAATAATATGATAAACTGGTCTAAAGAGTGGCTGATGCCTATTAACTCGGAAAAGTGTGTCTACATGCACTTGGGGGATTCAAAGGTTAATACGTACAACATAGGGGATGTGTCATTACCCGTAGTCCGGCCTCATAAGGACCTAGGGGTGACAGTGAGCAATGATCTTAAGACGACGGCCCATTTCCGGGAGGTCGCAGTTAAGGGGTTTCGAACCCTCTGGGTTTTAAAAAGGACATTCACTAAGTTAGATACTACCATGTTCACCACAGTATACACATCCTTAGTGAGAACTAAGTTAGAGAACTGTGTTCAGGCTGCAAGCCCCTGTTTAAAAGGTGACTCAGACATACTAGAAAAAGTACAGAGGGCAGCTACGCGTGCGATTCCGGAACTCCGGGGTTTATCATATAAAGAGCGGCTTGAAAAACTGAACCTCTTTACTCTGTCCTATCGCAGACTAAGGGGAGATCTAATCTTGATGTACAGAATACTGAGAAATGATTTCGGACCTAACTTATTCTCTCTCTTTCTTCCCACTAGATCGGGACACCTCAGAGGACATAGCAGGCGGGTAGAAAAGCCAAGAACGAACAAAATACCCGTGGCATACAGTTTTTCACACCGAGTCATCAATACTTGGAACCTGCTGCCTGAAGCAGTGGTGTCCGCACCTTCAATTGACTCTTTCAAGAGAAGACTGGACACTAACAGAAGCATACTAGAAAAGGAATAACATAGGCCGTAGGCCTTCTGTCTTTACTACACAAATCTGAATCTGAATCTGATTCGGGCGTTTCGGGTTTTTCCGGATTGTGCGCTACATTTTCTCTTTCAGATTGTCCGTTTGGATTGCGTTGAGTTTGAACTTAGTTGGCTGACTGGATTGTGCTGAAAACCATAAACATCTATCTCAACATTGAGAAGCAAATGCAAAGGAAATAATCGGTCCATATTAGCCCCACATAGAGTGTATATTGTAATACACTCTTGTAATTCGTTCCTGTTTGTCTGTCAAGCCTACATGCTTCAACCAAAAGCATTTGGTTTTGTGTAGTTCACATCAGTATTGTATAAAAATCCACGGTTGTCGTCCTGCTCAACTTTTCGCTACTGAAGGTCTCATTATTGTTTCCGTTGTTCACTAATAATTGTTAACCCACTCATGGTCGATCGTAACCGTTTCGAAATTTTGGAAGAAAACATCGAAAGTATTATTGATCATTGTAGGGAGGCTGGAATTGTTGTTTGTGACTATCAACCAAGTGTGTCGTTTCAGAAAAAGATCAACGATCTAGTGTATAAATTACAGGTACTGTTGATTTTAATATTCTTGACGGTAAATCTTAATGTTTACTCAGTCAAATACCATATTTTTTTTACTTAGTTAAGCAGTCAACCGCCTGACTCGTTAGGAATAAATAATGTGTCCTTAACTGTTTCTTGCAATGTTATTCATTCACCATGTAGTTCGCTAAATTATGCAAGTTTCCTTATTAAGTTGGTATATCATGCACCACTTAGTACACATTTTGAGTCTCGTCTGCGGTTATTCCCTATGTAGGCGGTTTTGAATACTTTGTTAATGATAAGTAATGTAATTGGGATTTTCATTGATCATATGCAAATTCCGTGGACTTTTAGCTAGAGTCCTTAATCACTCAGTGTAAACTATGTATTCAAAAAATGTCTTTATTATCATCCCATTTATTTGGCTCACCATTTTTCTCACAACCACAGAGTCATATGTGTCTTTAAACCTTATTTTAGAGTTCGTTTAGCATCATTCTCTCCATTAACATCCACTTTCCTCTTGAAAATATGTGAGCCATTTGTGTTTAATCGCAGACACTGTTATCTATTATATATAGCTCAGTCTACGAAATTTCCACTATTTCGCTTTGAAATTTAACCAGTCACTTAGGAAAGCACACAGTTCTTAAACTAGCTGATATTTCTGTTCATCAAACTTCCAAAACTGGGACACAACTTTTAGTGATATTAAGGGTTAGCCCATCAGCACTTGTTGTTCTCATTCACTTTAGTTATGGCTTCTACCTCTTTATGAGTCGGGGTACTTATTTTGACGTCCCATTCAGGTTGTTTGGTGGAAATTGATCATTGAGTGGTAGCTAGAGAGCAGTTAAACTGTCCGAAGTGTTCTGTTCATTGTTCCGGCTTCTTGTGTTGAAAGTGGGTCATTTTCCCATCTTTTTCAAAACTAGTCTCACTAACTCCAAAATATTTATTACCTGTTTCTTTGATAATTTCCAAAACGTGTCTACTATTACCTATTCCATCACTTTTGGTTTAGTTGCTCACCACTCCTCACGACCATCTCATAGAATTTTTGTCAGTCTACATCTATTTGCTCTTCATCGCGTTTTAAGCCATCTACCATTTCAGCGGACGCTACCGAAATCCACTGGTTTCCTAACCTTGCGGTGTATGTTACTGGTATACATCACTGCTGCTTCCACAGCTGTTTGAATATCGTGCCGAGCTACATCTGGGAGGATACCGCTTACATGGTTGACTCACTGCTTCTCTAGTTGTTCTTGAAATATATTGCTAACTTTTTCATCATTAATCTAAACTCCAAAGGGTCTTCTTACTGTGACTTTTGTGCGTCCAGCAAAACGCAGACAAACAGGTGCTTGCATTAGAGCATTGAAATCTAAAATTCAACCTAACTCATCTTTCAGATATGTGGATATGATCCACACTAAGTATGAGGGTTAATGATATTACTTGATTATTCAAACCGAAGTAGAGCAGGGTTAGACATTCGAATGCCCAAACCACTAATCTACCTCAATAGAGCTTGATAAGAGTCTAACGGTGTGCTCCAGAATAAGCTGCAGTCTTCCATCAAGCCTCCGACGATATCTAACGACAGTGCAGTCTATTGGCATTCATCGTTAGATCGATTGTGGGAGTCGTCATGTCAATACCTTTTTTATACCTGATGGTCGCTAGAAACGGTTATCCAAGAATGGTTGCAGCAACCAGTCTTTACTATCTATTCTCTGAGCCGCGACACCATAGGATTCACCTTAGTATCTTTTAGTTTGGTTTAAACTACCTATTTGAGCATTAAATGCACCTGCCATTATTATCACATCTGAACATTTAGCTTTTTGAAGATTTATATGAAATTCATCCTTTATATCATCAAAACTCCAATCAACGAGTGCATAGGGATACATAAGTGATTGTCTATCGGAATGCAGTCCAGGAGAGTTTGTTTTGCTTTTGAATTTAATGCCATCCATCGTAATTAAAATAGCTCATTGGAAAGTATGACCAAATCGTTTTCATGGCTAATCCGTTGCTTAGACATCCATGCCTCCTTAAAATATTTTATTAGGCCATTTATTCTTGACATCAATAAAAAATTGAACGAGATAAAGCAATGGGACTGGTTGACACTTAACAGCCCCCTGAATGCCCTGGTATGGCCGAGAGTGGGGAGAGTCCGCTCTCCCTCTCGAAATACTCTCACACGGCCATGCGTATACAGCCTCTGCCAGGGAAGTCCTACTCATTGCCTTCTCGTGGCGGGGGTGTTGTTTACGAAAATGAGAGAACGAAAAGCGAATGTCCGGCGCTTTAACCGGATTCCAAATCAATGGTGCACATGGGCTCCAGTATCCTGCGGGAACAAATGGCGTATGAACCAATCGTTGGTCACCGGCTACCATGGGACTGCATCTCCTTACGATGCTCCACTGCCTTGTGGGTTAGACCTTTAGGTCAAAGGCTCGGGGAGTGGCCCCCTAAGAAAACCACCTGCTTCGGTTTGGGCACCCGGGCAGTATCACAGCCCACACACAAATTGATGAGCTCTTTATGCCTATGGAAATTACCTTTCTCGCTTTGAAAAACAAACAATTGATTCAGATTATTATCATTACAATTATTGTCATTGTTAATACTATCATTATTATTACTACTATTATTGTCATTATTGTTATTATTATTATTATTATTATTATTATTATTATTATTATTATTATTATTATTTTCCACATTATTCACCCTCTTTTATACTTATACAGCGGCTCGTCTTTGGTGGAAATTCGACTGTATCTAAACGTTCTCGAGTCACTGTCCGGTTGAAAATTGTATGTTACCACCGAATACGAGGACTGAAGCAGTTTTTCTGAAACCACGTACACCATTCAAACTGGCTGCCTTCAACGTTCGCACACTTATGCAGGTCGGACAACAGATAGGGCTGGCTATGTCTTTGGAAAGTCTTAATATTGATGTTTGCTGTCTATCCGAGACCCATATTCAAGACTCTGGCGAAGTACTACAAATTCGATCTCCATCTGTCGCTTCGAAAAGCTTGTTTTACGTGCGCTTATCCGGGGACCCTGTGGCATGTTCGTCTGGTCTTGCTGGCGTTGGTGTCGCACTAAGCGCTAGAGCTGAGGCAGCACTAGTTGATTGGATCCCCATTAACAGTCGGTTATGTGCTGTTAGATTAGAAAGTTCCATCAAAGTGAGAAGAAATCGGCGTGAGAAACGATGTGTTTTCGTCATCTCCGCCTATGCCCCGACAGATTGCAGCCCGGATGCAATCAAGGATGAGTTTTACCACCAGTTATCAGTTCTTCTCCAAAAAGTGCGTTCAACAGATATTGCAGTACTAGCCGGAGACTTGAATGCTCAGGTCGGGCGTCTAGGCACAGAAGAGAGTCGTTTAGGTGGCCGATGGGGACTTGTTGGTCGCAGGACAGATAACGGGGACACCGTCTACTGCAACTTTGCACAGACCACAACCTGTTTCTGGCTAGCACTAACTTTCGGCACAGTCATCGCCGATGTGCCACCTGGCGTCCTCCCTCTGCATCTCAAGCCTGGACTCAGATTGACCACATCGCGGTCAGCTACCGCTGGCGTGGTTGTGTACAAGACTGCTGCTCCTTTTGGAGTACCTATCTGGACTCTGACCATGCCTTGGTCTGCGCCAATCTTGCCTTACTTTTCAGTGGCCAACGAAGTGACCACCACCAAAAGATTGATGTTAGCAAGCTGGTTGCAACTTCTGTTGCAAGTAAGTATCGAACCGAGCTAGCCTCTAGGCTAGCTACCACTCCACCGAAAAGTATAGATGAGCATTGGTTGCAATTGCATGACGCCATGAAAATGGCGGGAACAGTCAGTTGTGGGTGTGCGAAACGTCCCGCTTTTAAGCACTGGGTTTCTCCAGGTTCCTTACAACTCATTGAAGCCCGTCAGTCTACTCCGGGTGACCGTGAGTTTGACCATAAACGAAGGATGTTACGTAAGGAAATTGGGCAAAGCTTGCGTAAGGACCGAGAAGCCTGGTGGTCGATGCGTGCTAATGAGCTGGAAGCAGCAGCTGCATCTGGTAACTACCGGAAGCTCTTCCAGCTCATCCGAGCCACTGGCAGCAAGAAGTCTGGTGTGAGTGAAACAATCTGCGAGGATGGTGGGATGCCAATCACTAACATCCATCGACGTCTTGGACGATGGGCAGAATTTTTCGAAGGGCAGTTCAACTGGCCTGCTGCTCCGGCAACATCGGTCAGACTGTCCTGCCCTCCATGGCCGGTGACGACTGATCCACCAAATGAGGAGGAAGTCCGCAAGGAACTCCAACTCTTGAAGCGTTACAAATCACCTGGCCCAGATGACTTACCTCCGGCTCTTTTTAAAGATGGTGGTGACTTTTTGACTAAGGAATTGACGACGTTGTTTACAAAGGTTTGGGAACTAGAGAGTGTACCAACGTCATGGACTGAGTCGATAGTTGTCCCTATCTTTAAAAAGGGTTCACGTCGTTCCTGTAACAACTATCGGGGGATAAGTTTATTTCCGATTGCGTCCAAGCTATTGGCTTCCGTCATTCTTCGTAGGTTGTTCAAAACCCGAGAAAGATTGACTCGCGAGTAGCAGGCTGGGTTTCGTTCCGGTCGAGGATGTATTGATCATATCTTCACCCTCCGCCAAATGTTAGAACACCGCCATACTTATCAAAGGCCAACAATCGTAGTGTTTCTTGACATCAGGGCTGCCGTCGATTCGTTGGACAGGACTGTTCTCTGGGATTGTCTATTGAAGAAGGGTGTGCCTGAGAAGTTCATTAACATCCTGAAAGCCCTATATAAAAACACCTCAGGCAGAGTGAGGGCATACAACCACCTCTCTCCATTGTTCCATTCGAGCAATGGGGTTAGGCAGGGTTGCCCAATCTCACCATTCCTCTTCAACTTTGCCATCGATGACATTCTGGAAACAGCTCTGATGAATGTAAGTAATGGTGGTGTGGATCTGTTGTCTGGAGAAAGACTTCTCGACCTTGAGTATGCGTATGATATTGTCTTACTGTGCGATAATGCCCAAGCCATGCAATCCGCACTTAATCAGTTGGCAATCAGTGTCCGTAGGTATGGTATGTGCTTTGCACCTTCGAAGTGCAAAGTACTTCTACAAGACTGGCAGGATTCTAATCCTGTACTCACCCTGGATGGTGAGCAGATAGAAGTAGTCAAGAAGTTCGTGTATCTGGGTAGCTGCATAAGTGCTGGTGGGGGTGTTAGTGATGAGATCAATGCACGAATAGTGAAAGCCAGAGCGGCTTATGCCAATCTGGGCCACCTTTGGCGCCTTCGTGATGTTAGTCTGGCTGTAAAAGGTCGGATCTACAACGCGTCGGTGAGAGCAGTTTTGCTCTATGCTTGTGAAACCTGGCCTCTCCGAGTTGAGGACGTTAGACGACTCTGTGTTCGATCATCGCTGTCTCCGAAGGATTGCTGACATTCAGTGGCAACACCATGTCAGTAATGCAGAGGTTCGGCATCGTGTGTTCGGGCACAGAGATGATAATTCAATTGGTGTCACCATCTTGAAACACCGACTTCGGTGGCTTGGACATGTTCTCCGAATGTCGTCCCAGAGAATTCCACGTCGTGCATTATTTGCCGACTCTGGGACTGGTTGGAAGAAGCGGAGAGGTGGTCAGTGCATGACATGGTGTCGTGGTATGAAAGAAAGCTGCAAAGGACTGGCTTCTGTTGGTCCTTCACGACTCCCTGGTTGGGGTCTGAGAGATGGTGCTACACAGTGGCTAGAGACGTTATCAGATATGGCTCAGAATAGAAGCCAGTGGCGATCCTGCTGTAACCTTCTTTTACTTTCTTCATAAAAAGTGGTTGTGTCTCCTTTACCTGAAAGATTTCTTCTGATTGTACCTTTTCGTTCCGTCGTTACTACCACACTACCTTACTCCAATCTCTTCGTCATTGTTCTCTTTTTCTTTTGCGCTCCTTAGTTTTTTTTTCTACTTCTCTTCGAATTCTCATTGTTCTGTGTGGCGCATATATATTGGCGCTCTCTTGTACCAATATTCATGTGTTCAAATAAATAAATAAATAAATCCTAATAAGATCACGGACATTACTATCCGAATTGTAATTTCGTTTCTAGTGGTGGTACAATCTATGACTTTAAAGACCATTCTCAAAAAAGTTAGTGTTATGTCAAACTATGGATAACAACACTTGTGTCATGATAAAGTATAGTGTTCAAGTAATAATGAGTAAATTTCCTCATACCGTTTATGTCATACACCTGGTATTCTGTACATGAATTTTAGAGCTAGGAATATAACGGAGTATTATCATAACTTAATTAGTAAACGTTTGGTTTTATTAACAAGATTTTTCATATTGGATAAAGCCAGCTTCAAACTGCTACTTGCTTACAGCTCTAAAATGACGTTTCGTTTTTTCCTTGTGCAATTTAAAAAAAAAGTATAGTATTTCGGGGGATTTATATTTGCATGCATCAACACCATAGTCAAAGCCATTTATCCTCAATTAATCCTCTCTAAAACTGATACAAATACAATAACCAGTCATTGGATAAAATCTCTTGTCGAATTGTATTATCTGTGATGTTAACCGAATTCTGTTTTCAAATTTTCAACTTGTTATTTCTCTTATGATGGCATCATAGTGCTCATTTGTCGTTGTTCAGAGATAGATATATTAATTATAAGACTCTCTAACTGCAGTTTGTGATATTTGAGTGTTTTATACTAAGTTATCCCATTAAAATATTCAAAAATATTGATCTTATTACACCACATTAGAAAAACATTTGTTTCGTAATTAACACTGTGTAATGATTTTGACTAGACAACTACTTAAAACCAAGGAGCACTGGACGTGTTTTTCGTCCTAGTATAAGACTCAGAAATTCATATCCACGACCTCCTCAAAAATAGAGCTTTTTAAACTATCAAAGTGAAATGTTTCGCGTCATAACAGTTATCAGTTTCTTGTATTTGTCCTTGTAAAATTCCGGAGAAGTGAACTGAATGGAAGTTAAATGAGACTGCTAAAAATTAACTGTCATTTTTTAGAATTTACTGTAAATTTATGTTTGTGTGATTTTCACACTCTGCTTACTTTTTAAAGGATGTGGATCGTATGCAAGTTGAAATGCAAGATGTACATGTTCCTATTGAATTATTTTCCAAAATCGATGCTGGTCAAAACCCTCAGTTGTACACTCGTGAGTGCATGGAACAAGCACTAGCCAAGAATGAGGCAGTCCGTGGAAAATTAGACAGCCTTCGTCGTTTCCGAATGTTACTTATGTCCGAATTGTCTCGTCAATTTCCAAATGAAATGGCTAAATATCGAGCTGTACGTGGTGATCCTGAAGCTCCGACACTTGGTCCTGCAATGTCCAGTAACTCTCAATCAAATGGATCTGGTACTGAGACTGGTCCAGAATCCGTTTCACTTAGATAGATACTTTCAGTATGTTTTGTTCTCAACAAGCATATGCTTTCTGGAAATTGTTTTCATGATTATCGTGATAAAGTGTTTTCTTGTATATATTCTCTAAACATTTGTTTGGTTGTCAATATGACTAGTAATGAGTTTGTTGATCGAATCATTTTTTTCTAGTCTAAAATATTACGGAATACCACATTTGTATAGGAAGAAAATATTTTGAGGCTTACTATTGTTTAGAGGTGAAAGGCAAGATTTCAAGTAGGAATTACCAAGAAACACTGCTGATAGACTGATATCTATATTTGTAACAAATATTTTGTTATTTTTGCTTCATTTGATAAAGCAACCAAACTACTTAACATCCTCTTTTTATGTACTATTTGCTATAACTTGTGAACCTGTGTGCCCTGTTTATTGGATAACGCAACGATACCGCCAGTCAGAGAGCAGTGAATTATCGACCGAACCAGTGACGCATAAAACACGTGCGAGCAGCCTAGAGTCCTGATTGGCCCTGCTTCCTGTCTAGCCCAGCCAGTTGAGTCCAGAACGCCAATCTCAGCCTCTGCAATATGAATCGTTTATTTCAAACATACGGGGTTTATATACCAATCAAACAGTCCACAACGTACCATAAAATAGAAACTAACATTTGTACAATATTTGGCCAAAAGTGGCTGTGAATGGGGGAGGTAGTGATTAACAGGTAGGGAATAAGTCAAGAATGGTAAATCGTGTAATAATAGTTCATAGGTCGAAATACAACTTATAATAAAAGGGACATGAATATGAACAGTTTAGTTACATGACAATCACACGATAAAAATATACTCATAGTATCGGTCCATAAATGGATCCCAAAAATTACCATCCATTATTCTTATCGGGAGATAACACTATTACATCTTCACTCTGCTTTAATGGTCTCTCTTCATAAAATACTTTTTTATAAAGCCTTTTGTACATATTACAGACAGAGGTTATTAATTAACTTGAAGTTATTTCCACCTTCCATGATGGTCATCAAGATAAAGCTATGCACAAAGTTCAAAATGTTGACATTTTTAACATTGGAGAATATTAGATGTTAGCTAAAAACTCATAACATATATGTTCGTTTGTTCCAGTCAGTAACTGAACAAACCTAATTATCACCTAACTTCTATGTCTTTTTTGTACTTATCGTAGATATCAATTTGTTTAGACTTAACAACTTCATTAAGACATGTTATATTTGTTTAAACACATAAATATTGGTACAAAGAGGCACCGAATTTAATGCGCCACACTTCATCATTCGACTTTTGCGAGGGCTTAAATTCTGCCCGGGCGTCCAGACCGAAGCAAGTGTTTTTCTTAGGGGGCCACTTCCCGAGCCTTTAACCTAAAGGCCTAATCTGCAAGGTAGCGGGGCGATGTTAGGAGATCCAGTCACATGGTAGCCGGTGACCAACAATAGGTTCATAGGCCATCTTTTGCTTCAGGGTCCTGGAGTCCATGTGAACTTTTGGTTCGGAGTTAAGGTTCTCCAACTCCCCTAGATGAACCCTCTATATCCACCAACCCTGTTGAAGCGCCGAACATTCGTTTTTCGCTCTTTGGATTTCACAAACAGCACATCAGCCGTGAGAAGGCAATGAGTAGGACTTCCCTAACAGTGACTATACGCGTGGCTATGTGAGAGCGTTTTGAGGAGAGTGGATTCTCCCCATGCTCGACCGTACAAAGGATTTGGGGGCGAGCTAAAAATTGAATTTTAAAGGTGTTTTCAGGGCACCGGAATTAACTTGATTGGTTTGACAGAGATCGATGTAAATAAAGAGTCGGTTTGCAATGTTTTTATTATGCAGTCAGCATATGAATTCTTACTTTCGAAAGGCTCATACTACAGTAAACAGATAAACAAAATCAAAGCTTGTCAATAGTAATATCTCAATAATAGATGTTGCTGAAGTTTCCGATGTTAGTTCTTCACTATCTTGTTAACATCAACTCGTATTACATACATGTGTTGTGAAAATTGATCGACTGATATGTTTATTAATCTATAAAACGAAGTTTACGAAAGTCATTTTTAGCATACAAGCCATTAATTTTCACCGTTTATTACTATTAAGGTTCTTATTCTGAACGTTTAAATTGTTTTACAGTAGACAAAAGAATAGGTCAGGATTGTCTTTATAAGTGCATGAATACTTGAACAATCATTTATCCATGAATCACGGAGTTTTTAATATAAAGCTAGTCTTAGGGTATTTTTTTGTCAATAACATTTATTTGTCATTTGTAATAATTCTTGTCCAATAATACACAGTGATAAAAAAGAAAGTACCTTGCTAAATTTTCCCCAAAAAACCCAAATGAAACACAATTACTTGTAATGATGGTCAGAAGGTTTTAATTCTTGAATAAATTTCGATCTTGCTTTTTTCGAGATCCTATTCAGTTTATGATTTCTTTGATTATTGGTTATAAAGGATTTTCGTTTAAATCTCAATACTACTTTCCCGGTGCTAATACACTTCATTAGTTGATTGTGACTCGAAGTGCGCTGTGTTTGTTAACTCACCTCACGTTCTCAGCTACACCAACGACCATCTTTCAGACTACAACTGATTCTGTTCTCTTTTTTAAAACTTCTTTTCTCGATCAAACCCGACGTAGATCCTTCAATGGTAATAGCAGAAATACTATACTTGGAATTACCCTTTTCAGAATAATAAATCTGTGGTGTTTGAACCCTCTTACTTTTAATTTTTTCGAAACATGGACATAACTATTCGATAAATCTATTTCATGTTTACTCTAGTATTATTACTTTACATAGTTATGATATTCAAACATACTTTATAGTGAGCTCAATAAGATTAATAAAATCCGTAGTAGATCAAACAAATTCAATGTGGAAGATCGAGATAGTCATTCAAATGGTAGTGCAAATGAGAAAATACGACCTAGGTCTACCTTAAATAAGTGAAACAAGCCGAACAAAACACTAACTTCAGGAGTTTTTACTTTATTATGGCTATGAAGAAGCCAATGCTCGTTGCATACAGAGTTACATTAATGCCATGCAAAGAAGCGCGAAAGGCGCTTATAGGATACGGACAAACTGATGATGGCAACGAAAATGCTAGAGATCAATTTTATGAAAGTGTCTTTAGCCTATTGTAGAAAAATCCTCAGGAAAACACATGACCAATTTAATGGGGAACCTAAATGCCAGGGTCGAAATGGACATCATGGAGCATGAAAGCATCATTGCTCAAGGTGAACTAGGAGAAATAAGAGCAAAGAAATCGAATAAATGAGCTGAATATACAGGAGGAAACGGCTGTAAAAAGCACTAGAGGTAGGAAGCGAAAATATGTGGGAGACCTGGTAACTTCAGCAGAAAAATCTGTAAGAGAAGGAAGTATGAGAGAACTATTTAAAACGACTAGGAAGCTATCAAGAAAACGTAGTAGACCGGGGTGGTCGGTCAAGAACAGTGAAGGTAAAACGATCGCCGAGATTCGAAAGCGGCGGAAAAGGTGGGTAGAGCACCCTGAAGAGCTGTTGAATAGGTCAGCGCTGTTGAAACCAACGAACATCAAAAGAGCGCACAAAGACCTTCCTATAGATTCTGAAGTACAACACGACGAACGCCAACCAAGTCACACCTGATGGTGAAGCTATGAAAGAGGTGGAACCTTCACATATCTGGGCAACATCGTTGATAATCAAAAAATATCTTGTTCAGATGTAGAGTGTAAAACTGGCAGGACGAGGTCAACATCTCTATAATTAAGTGATATCTGGAACATAAAATAGCCCTCACGCAAGACCAAATTCAGAATTTCCAACACAGATGTTAAAAGTGCGGAGATTAGGAAAAGACACTAGGATGGATAGTACACACCGAGGAAACCAATAAATTGTGTCACGAGGTAAGTCCTTGTAAAGTATGATCGATAAACGAACCCACCAATGACAACAGGAAACGACCACTATAACATTAACTTTCTTTGACCTTGTATGACTATGCTTTGCTTATTCACCAACCATAGTTTTCTGTTTATATTGAACGATATTAAGTTCGTTGACTCATTTTTCTATCCTCTAGTTACTGTTCAATATGTTATTCATGTCTTTCTTTTTCCCTGTTTAATAGACTGTAATAATTGTTTATTCCGTGTGCTAACAGTGTTAGTTTACGTTTTAGGAACAGTTTATTGAGTCAAATAGATAACTTGTTCTGACTTTGGCTAAGCTAATACTCTGTGCTCGACAGTCTAGAGAGTAGTTTGGAATTAAATCCTACAGTCCTAACTTGGAATCCTCCGAACAAAAGACAAGGAGGCAGACCAAAGAACACATGATATCGAGAATTGTAGACCGAAATCAAGACCATGAATAGCACCGACAACAAGTAGAAAGGAGAACTCAGGACAGGTTTGGTCGGAGATTTCCGGTTGGAGTGTTCTTTAAACTGTAGCTGTATCTTTTGTTAGACGGAAATAAGCTATAATGTAATTCTACTTACTAGTAATCAGAGTGACTACCTATAAAAAGTTTCCTCTTCTGCTGTTCGGGATAATTCAGAGGTAAGAGCAGTATGTTGACTTGATGATCTTTCGGATTCGTCATAAGAAACTTACTAGGAGTACAATCATTGCATTAAAATGGTCATAAAACAGGGTGCTAAACAAATAAATCTGCGTGTAAAAGCATCTTTTATGGCGGTAAGATAATGGTTGTAAAGCATGTGAAAATCGGACTGAAAAGGCATTTAAACTTACAAGCTCTTTAAAATAATTTGGCCATTCATCATCGTTTATTTTAGAAATGTTCTGCACCGGTTAATAATTTGGAATCAGTCAACACTTCTTAGGTGTTTCAGAAATTCGACTGAAAGTCGTTTGTTCCAGACATATATTAAATCATCGAGACATTGCTAATAGATGAATCTTGTTGTTTTGTTAATGGCTTTAAAAAACTGTCCAGACAAACTAACTCACATCGTGAAACAAATATGACACTGGAAGATATAAAATCATATAGAATCCGAGTTAATAATGAAACAATTTTCTCAAAACATATTTTTACAATCTGCGTTAATATTGAAGATAACCAACCGAACATTAAATCACATTCTGATTTTGTTTGTGATAGGAAGCGGCTGAATTAGAGATCAATATTTCAGGACATTAGTCAGTGAAATAAGAGATTTTCTTTTTCTAGGTTTTGATTTTATTATTACGTGATCGGAATAACTATTGGACAAGTGTTATTGTTAGATCAATCGTCATCAAAGCATTCGTTGTAGTGCTAGACTTTTTGGAAGATCTGTATATAAGGAGTCAACCTCATTAAATATTACTTCGTCTCAGTCAAAGGGCAGTTATTGTGTCCTGATATTTCCCAGTTTAGTAGGATATAAGGTTCTGGGAGGTACTCATTATCTTTATTGTCGGTCCGTATATTAACAGTACAAACCCATTCCTATTATCGTTTTAATCTTCTTGATCATGCAACATTGTATTTGAAGATAAAGATTATCTTCACTAATTATTTTCGAGAATTTAGTAATGCAGATGAAACAACAGTGTTTACCATAAATTTATTTACAGGCTAGAGCTTTTGAAAATTGTTTATTCTGAAGGTTTTATTCACAAAGTCATAGCAAGTTACGAATTATAGAGCACGAGCTTTTAAGCGATGTGTTAGAGTTAAAGCATATGGGTAGTGAGATTGACATCATTAGTAGAACTGGGTTGATTAATGCTACAGATGTAAACCATTTGATTTTGACTCAGTAGTTTGAAGGTTTTGGGTTTATTGGGAGACATGAACTTCCTGGGTTCGACTCTACAGCGTTGAGGATATGTTTTATTAAGGAGTCTAAAAGTAAATTGATTTAAGTATTGATTCGAAGCCTACAGTTTACATAAGCATTCCTTGGAGAATTTAAGAATTTTATTCACGCTGTCAAATTTTATACAACAATTTGGTAGTTGTTAGCAACTAACTGCACAAAAGCTTAATTCAATTGGTTACCTTGATAAACCTTTGTAAAACAAGAATAACAAAGGTTATAGAATGATGTCATTTTATTCTCTATGGTATGCTTTAATTCATCCACATACTGATCTGTACAAAAACTAATTGTTTTGCTTAGTCAAACAGTATGTTAACGCGATACTTAATAATATATAAATGAGAGTATTTGAAGCGTAGTTGAAGTCTAGACAACTATAATAACCCATGAAATATATCGGATATCTAAACGTTAAGTTATTAACTGAATTCCATATTAATTAGTCTGTTTATCTTATTTTGATGATTATTGAAATATAATTAAGTCAATTGAAGATAGATCACCATGGAAAACCTGGAAGCACTGAACGGCCATTTCGTCCTATTGTGGGACTCCTCAGAAGTGCTCATCCACGATCCCGCCTCGCGAGATTCGAACCCAGGACCTGCTAGTCCCCCACGAGCGCTTAACCACTAGACTGCTGATCCGGCATCCAACGCTGTTAATGTTTAACTTCAACCAATCCACGAAATTGAGCGACATCCACCATTGTCATCAGTGAGTTACTATCTCACAATTGACCCGGTTGAACTCCACTGATCACTGCTTCTCACTAGGACTCCGGGATAAACCTCTTGAAGCCAGACACTAGTGAGCATATGTTGATTCATATCAGAAAGGTTTTTGTGGATATTATAGTAATTTCAATGGTTGAGATGATAAGTCAATTGAAGCTATCACGAGCTCACTTGATCTGCGAACGAGAACAAGACTCGGTGACCAAAGACCAGTAAGCTAGCTATTGATGCGTCCCAGTCCCGCTAACTAGAGGGAGAAGTCCAAGCTTGGAATGGCAAGAAACGAGCGATAACAACAAATAATTCAAAACGTATATATGTAGTGCAAAACCATCCTTGGGGAGAGTTACCAAATAGCATACTAAAAGACGCAACGGGGTCATGATCTATTGGAAGTACTACAATCTCCACAAAATCCCTTCTGATATAATTAAGTGTTGAATATATTTTGTGCAATTAATTACTTTCTTAGATTTAAATAAAATAAGAATGATAATGTGTGTAGAATACAGTGAATTCATTTTATCTCATTATTTTCTCTTTATTATATATAAATTAATAAATTTAGTTATTACAAATTATGTAAGAAAATTGTAGCTTGAAGAAATGAGTTACTTATCAATAAAGAATACGTTAGATGAAAAATAATTAAATATATGGAAACCCTGTGAAAACTTTAAATCTTTTCTTAATCTACATTCCAAATGATGTATTATTTATGTATTAACAATTAGGTGAGACTGTTATTTATGGATAAATCCATCAGATTTAATATAACAGATCTTGAATTTTGGCACGAAATTCATTCACTCATTTGTCTAAATAGCGTTATGGCATTTTAGCTGATGTCAGTTCGTGATAAAAATCATAAACCTAATTCTTAATCCTAACCATCAGTTGTAAATCATAATCCCTATTCTTTATACTACTTTTTAATCCTCATTTAGCCCTAGTAAGTAAGTGGACATTCTTAAAGTCACTAAGGCGTCACTCAAAGGTCGTGCATCAATTATAGTTTCACTAACGATTCATTTATTCAAATTACAAACTATATTGATATTTTTAAATCATTCAAATTACCAGCCTGTATGTAGCTAAATAAAAAAAATAGCGAAATGCAATGAATCTATCGTATTCCATAAATATTGTCCATTTTGACTTCGTTCCAAATTCCGTATATTTTATTTACCAATTTATTTTTATTATTGGTGTTGGATAGTTTCAGTGTATAAAGTTTAGTTGATTTCATTTTAATGTCAAAATATTACAAACATTACATCATAATATATAGTGGTAATTTGATTTACATATGACTGGATGATGCTTTTTCAACTTTATTCACTTACAGTTTACTAAGTTATATATTCTAATTATTTTATGATATTTTATCTCTTTATATACATTTCATGTGTCTTATGCATCATAAATAAAAATAAATGAATAGAATTTAGTTAATTCATTACTTTTATAACTTGTCATCAAATAATAAAATACATTGTAACTTCGGGTAAGTAAATATTCACAATGTAATACAAATGATACTGATTTTTTTTATCTGGGTTAATTCATAACAGATCTGATATGTACAAAAATGAGTTCCCTTTTTCATTTGTTAATTTTATGAGCAAGAAATAGACCATTTATTCCTAAAAGATATTGGTATCCGTTAAGTTTTCAATGTTCACTAAGTGTGATTTTTGTGACCCTATATCTGACTCCAGTTTGATCATTTCTAAATGCATGCATGCATGTCGCCGATCCTCGTATATAATTATCGACTTAATCCGCGTTGGTGAATAACGAAATTAAATAAGCCAAATACAAGAATTTTGAATGCGTATATTTTGTACACTCATTGATTTGAACAGATAATCAAAGGAATGAAGCGAAGAGAAGAGAGCGAAGCAAGATGACACACAGTGAAGGTGTGTGAACCAACTCCGTTTGACGAACCGTTAACCAATATATTGATAGTTACAACTAAGTTACAGACATATGATGAGTGGGATAAGATGTACACACAAATACGCTCATTTAAAAACAGTCAGGGTTGATAAGTCAATAATTGGCCTCTTCAGAAGCTCGAATAAGTTATGTAGGCTTAACGTAGTAGTCGACATTACATGCAATATTTAGTGCCTTCGCATATTTTTTTCCTTCATTTGGTGGGTTGTTGCCTCATATTGGGATGTAATTTTCACTAACAACATTTTAAAAAACAGTTGTTATCGACAGCTGTCTGTTGGTAAAAAGTCAGTGTCACGCATCTGAACATGTCAGATTAAAAAAGAAAATATTTTGAATGGCAGGGCTTGAGAAATATATCCCTATGTACCATTTAACTTTAAACTGAAATGAGGAAAGTATGTTACGATACTTCTTCAGTAAGTCAGTCAGCAACAACGTAGAACTTCTTACGTACGTACATCGATTCCAGTTGCCATACCACATATCACACAGATACAATTGTCGATTCAAATCCCATAGTGGTAGAGGTAGTAAAAGTGTAATCAGTAATCGGAAACATTAGTGTTTGAAGATGTTATTCAGGGAATATAATCCAGTGAAATTAATTTTGAAGGAGAAGAAAACGGACATGACGAATTCAGAAGATTAGAATTTTGGAGAACTCAAAGAGTGGATGCACCTGCTCACACCATTGCAAACGAT